ACTTCTAATGCCTGAAAAGTTGAACTGATAATCTACTGTAATTAGCAGTATTACTCTAAAAATAAGAAAACTTTACAGTTTCTGGTATAACTGCAGAGAATTGTTTTCATCTCCTCAGACAGTCCTGGGGCCTGGAAGTCAGAGCTGTTCCTTTATTTGGGGAATTCTATTGGTCAGCAGTCATGCACAACTGCACATGCAAGAATTCTAACTTTTAACAAAACTGAAATGACTGACTCAGAACATCACAATTACCAGAAACTCATTCACAATGGAGGGAAAGGTGCAACAGGAAGTAACACGTGGCCTTTCTTCCTTGTGAAAGGTTGATAAAACAAATGTCCAAAAGCTATTGCATCATAAATTTGGTTTTGTAGCTCTGTTTTAGTTGCTGTTCATGCATCTCATGTGTCCTACTAATTCAGGGAGTGTGAAGTCTTGGATTCGAACACCATACAGTCCTGCCACCAACTCTAATATGATAGATACATTCTGTGCCCTTTCCAAACTGCATCCATTCATTCATTCAACAAAGACTTGACTTTTACTACATCTCAAAGACTTTTCTAGGTACAGTAAATGAGGGACAGAGTATGCTGTCATCACAGAATTTACAACAAGACCCAATGGAGGCAGGCAATAAGGATGTATAGAATCTAGTGCATGAAGGTTTTCCCAATGGAGGCAGGCAATAAGGATGCATAGAACCTAGTGGATGAAGGTTTTCTGTAAAACAAAAAATGTAATAGTGGGACAGAGAAGGACAAAGCAACTATTAAGCTGGTCATGAAAGGCCACTCAGAGCTGAGACAGGAATAATGCCATGGAATAAACTATGCAAAGATCTGGAGTGATGCTCTCTCAGAAAAGTAAATAGCTATACCACAGCCCTAGCCCAGGAAAAGGCGAGTGGCCATCAAAAGAGAAAGGGAGTCAATCCTCCTAAAAGAAAATGAGTAGTGGAATGAAAGTGTTGAAATTAAGTCATGGACAGAGTCCAGATGAGGAGCCAGAGGAGGCCACAAGGAAGACACTGTCTTTCATCCTAAATGCAATGAGCATATTTCACCATATAACTTCTGAAACCTTGAAAAGCAGACAAAGGGATTAAGGAGGGGTAATCATGCTGTCACAAATTTTGTTATTTGTCCCACGAGTCTGGGCTGTGAGTCAAGATCTTACCGAGAGTCAAGCTACAGTAAACTCTTCTCAAGTTCATGCAAATATAATCACTGCAGAAGGTCGCACTTTGTAACAGGAAAAATAAATAAACAGAAAATGTCCAACCTAAAAATGAGTCATCTTCCAAGAGTTTCCTCAGAATCTGTCATTGGAAATTCATAAAATAGCTTTCCCATAGAAGAAATTAATGTTAAGTTATTTTACTATGATAGTCTGGAGAGTTCTGTGGTATCTCTAATGTGTTAATAATGCTAGTTTTATTTTGAAATCAGAGGACCACATGATATAAGAAAAAGCAACTGCTAAATGACAACCACCATTATTCTAAGCACTGACTAATATAAGCACATTTCACCATCATGAGATAGATACTACTATTATTTGCATCTTATAGGAAAAACTATCAAGAATCAGAGCTAAACACAGTGCACTCAATCAGCTGGAGCTGCCTAAGTCCACTGGAACTCACATCATCTCTCCCCACCACATACTCCAGGTGCTTGACATGGAGCTAGAGGACTTAATGTTTGTCCAACTGACTTCTGGACTCTCTTTGGTTTCCATTCCTTTCTATGCCTCAATTCCTCTTGTTCGGAATGTGAATGTTTATCCTGCACACTGTATCTGGAAGTATTTAATTTCTTTTTGATTTTTACAGGGCTCACATCTAAGAATTTGCCTTGAGTCTCAGAGGAAATTTTGGACTTTGATCTTGGAACAGTGCTGTAACTGTTGAGACTCTGCCAACTCTTAGAGATGGACTGAATGTATTTTGCATAATGACATCCACATGAACCTATCTGGGTCCAGAGTGGAGTGTTATCATTTAGGTCCAAAATGTCATCAAAATATCATTTGATCGGAGGTGGGGCTTTTGCAAGGGATTGGTTCATGTGAGGGCTAGAGTCATCAGTTGATTAATCCATTGATGAGCTCATAGCTGGCTGCAGCCTACATAACCACTTTCTTGGGCTGCTTCTGCTCATTGCTTGTGGCTTTTCTCAGCAGAGCTTCCAGTTTCTAGCATCTCTATCTTTCTGGATTCTCCACTACCTTTGGCTTCACTCTCATCAATTAATCCATTACCCTCTCAGGGGGTCCAGAGAGTGTTACCCGGTGAGTTTCACAAAGCCTCTGAGGCTTTTTTCTGAAATTCTGGTGGAAGCCTCTATGACATCATATCTCTTACAACTTGGATGCTTGTAGAACCAGCTCCATGTGGATGATGCCACCAACTACTATCAGCTCCAGAGGTAGCTGGGCCCCCTGGGGGCATGGCTACAGCAGCACCTGAGTATCTAAATGGCTGAACTTTGGGATACTTTCCCTAGGCAGCCCTGCTTGTGCAAGGTACCTGAGTTCTCTTCTCAAAGTAAAGATTTTTATAAAGTTACACTTTTACATCCTTGATCCTGTGATGAGGTCCAGCTAAGTCCTCAGATGCTCTCAAGCCATCTTTCCTATTTCCCTGATGCAAAGTATCTTAAAAATTATTTTGACACTGAGGATTGAATCTAGGTCTTTTGGACTGAGCTACATCACCAATCCCCCACCCTTTCTTTTAAAATTTTAAGCCTGGGTCTTGCATTAAGTTGCCAAAGATGGGTTCTTGTGTCCCATCCTCCTGTCTCAGACTCCCAGGCTATTGATATTTAGCTTTGGCTGCTTTATAATGGCATGATTCTATTCAGCAGCCACATTCTCACTGGTTCCAACTTTACACTTTCTTTCTGGCCAATCTACAAGTATTTCAAATCCTTTTGCCCTACCTTTCTTTCCTGACTCTCACTGTGAATATGGCTGAAAATAGCAGCAATAACCATGTCACAGCCTGAACACAGGTCCATCGAAACTTCTTCTGCCACATTAATTAGTCCACCACCTTTAAATTCAGCCTCAGAGGAAGTCTTAGGATGTGTGCTAAATGAATACAAGTACTTTCAAGAATGAAAGACCCATGGTCTGTAGTCCAGTTTCCACTATAATCTTTGTTCCCGACTGAAAGCTCATGCACCTGGCCTATCTTAGCTATATTTTTATCAGCATTCTTGTCTTTTGAGCTCCCACCAGAATCACCCATCAAGTGCTCTGCTTACAATATTCTAGGATTTCTTCTGCCTACACCTCCAAACTTTCTCCAAAAATGCTCCTACAAACCAGTTCCAGAGGCTTCTGAACCAACCTCCCTCCCTCCCCTCCCCTCCTCTTTCCCTTCTTCCTTCCTGATTGCCATGGCTTGTCATGGTTTCCTCACCCATGCCCTTCTACCATGATATTTCTCCAGGCCAGGCTTATGAGTTCTGCTCTGAGAAACACGAAATCCAAGGGGCCAGTAACGTCTCCTTTTTCCTGAAGTATAAACTCATTCCCTCTGACTGAACCCTCTGAAATCTTAAATGAAAATAAACTCCTCCTCCTTTAATTTGTGGGTATTGGGCATTTTGTCCCAGTGATGGAAAACTAACTGATAACAGAAAATTGGTACCAAGAATGAAGCTGTTGTTGTGACTATATCTACTGGGCTCAGAAGTGCTTGCCTAGAATCAGAAGAGCTACCTTCAGCCACGTTTCCCTTATTTCCTGTCCTACTCCAGAAGTTTCAAACTTCTCACTCAACTTAACCTCCCAAAGTTTTTCTCTGTGAGACACAAAAGTCATGGGCTGCACCTTTCCCTTCTCCCCAAAGCATAAACTCAATTTCTGGTCTCCAGCTGAAGAGGAATTTTTGGCTGCACTATCTGCGATGACTGGCTTGTCCTCAGACATGAAAAACGTTTACCTAGTTAGAAACACATGGGAAGAAGCATGTTTCCACTGATGTCCTTTGAGGTGCTCCAGCTCTGACATGTCCTTGTCAGTGAGTTCTCCCCAGTTTGGAGAGTGCCCAATGTGAGCAAAGAAATGGACCTCACGCGATCAAGGGCCATTCCCTCATTTCAGAGAAGAAAATAATGAAAAGAGAAATTGATATTTTTCTAACAGTCTCAAATATCCTGGCACAACCCAGGAGAGAAACCAGTCTTGAGTTCTAATAGGTAAGGAACAGGAAGGGCAGTTTTTGAACAGACAAAGAGGGTAACCAAGTCAAAACAGCAATGATTTTCTTTTAATAATACTTTTTGCATTCTAAATGTTTGATCACTGTAGAAAAATTTAGAAATTACTAAAATTAAATTGAAAATAATTATGGATAATTCCAGAATTCAGAGCTCTGGCACATATATTCTAATATTTATATCAGAATCATATTGCATATATAATTTTTGTTCTATAATTTTAATTACCCCTTATATATGCTTCAAATATATTTCTTTCCTTGTGTATTTTTAAAGTACATGATATAACTGATCTTTTAAATGTATGACTTTTCATTTTTATCATTTAATCATGTAAAAATGTATCATCCCATCATTCCATTTATAATTTCATTGTCCAGCATGTCACTATACACTACTATAAGGAACAAACACCTTTGTACATAAATAATCCTTTGTTAATGTTTTCATGGGATATGACCAGAGAACACAAAGGAATTATTTGGATTTAAAGTAAAAATCAGATGGTAGAAAGAATTTCTTGATTGAAAATAATGAATTCTTGCTCTGATAACATGATTAAATAATCAGCTTAATGTTTTATGATAATATCTGTAATTAAATCCTAGAATGCTGAAAGCTAAGATGCATCCTGAGGCAGTTTTCTACCCACCATATATACCAGTAGTAGCCCTGAAAATATTATTCTTATTATCAATAAACTCATAAAAAGTTCTACATAGAATTAGTTTTTAAATTTTATTTTTTACATGTAGTCTTATATGGAAAAAAATATTTAATCTCCTTGCACAATTCTGTAAATATGATTTCACGGGCAGCTTTAGGTGTCAACTTCTGGCCAGGTGGAATGTGTCAGGTGCCAATGTGATATGATTCGGCTGGCGGGGTGCGGGCAGGAAGGCTACATGGCCCTGCATAGGACTCTGCTTTGCTGTCTGGAGTTCTGTGGTCCAAGTTGAGCCCAGCTACTTCCCAGCTGCACAGGCCTCGGCCCTGCTCCTAGTACAGTAGAAATACAGTAATGCCATGCAGCTGTTTGAGGCTCAAATACTCAGTATGTCCCAATTACCTTCATTTTATAAAATCTTAACATATTAATGTAGCTAATATACACAGCACATCTAGACAGAAATACAGAATGATGCATTCACCAAACACAATTTTTATAATCTGGAAGGCTGAGGCAGGATGATCACAATATCAAACCTAGCCAGGGCAACTTAGGGAGACCTTGTCTCAAAACAAAACATTTTTTAAAAAGGGGTGGGGAGGTACTCTGTGTTCAATTCTTATTACTGGAACAACTATTAGTCCCATCATCAAAGCCTGGAAGGTGAGTGAGGTCTGAGCCAAGTGTTCAGAGGGACTAGACTGTAATCCAGACACCGTCCACTCTTTCTAAGCCCCACACCTCCCTTACCACCCCCCAAAGTGAAAATTCTACACTATTCCCATGCAGCTGTGCACTAGCTCTTGATGTGCTTGCCTTCTGCAGATAAGATCGGTACGCAGAAGGGCTTCTTACCTGAAAATCCAGAGACCTGACAACTCCAGATGTTGATATCAAGCACTGAAAATACATTTTACAAGAAAGTCACCTTAAGAACAGTTTCAATGTCTGTATCACGGGTTTAACCAAAACTGCAAGAAGAGTTCCTCAAATTCTAGATCTGGTCATTTTCCTCTCTATTGCTTTCTCAACTTATGAGTAAGCACAATACCTAATAAAAATGTAGGCACCGGGCAAAATTAATATTCTATGAGAAACAGTAATTTAGTAATAATTCCTAACAGCGTTTGTCCAGACTTACTTCCCCATATCCTTTAGCGGAGACTCTGCTTTCCTTCCTCAGAGCCAGGATGTTTTCTTGAAATCTAGTCACAAACAATGAATCTAACTCTAGGCCACTAAGCAGACATATTTTCTCTTGTTAATTTATAATGGTAGTTTTAATTTGAAAGTTGTTTAGCTAAGAAGCACCGAGTAAACATAATAACTCTATATCTTTATGATAAGTCCTCCTTATTGCCAGAAGGGTAAGCACGCAACTCGGGAGTGGTGCAGGCCATGGTCACAATCTCGCTGCTTGACATAGTTCCAGTGAAACTGAGACTATGGCTGAAACCAAGACTCTGTCTTTTGCGTCTTTTGCTTTCGCTTTCCGTGGTAGTAATTACCTCGGTGCTGTACTCCCTGGGAAATCACTGAAAGGATAAAAGTCATTACTTCAGAAATGGTTACTAGGCCGGGATTACAGGAAGAAATTGTAAATCCATTTACAGAAAAGCCCCTCACTCATACCTCCATGAGTAGTGGGGACCTGACATCCATATGCCCTGACTGTACAAAGGGAAATTGGGACATCAACAAATTTATGACGCAGTTATGGCTCTTGGAAGGTCACCCTTGGCCAACACCTATATAACCGCAGGGCACACAACAATGAGATCTGGCGGAACTTGGCCTAATGAGGTAGCCTGACCTTGCTAAAATGCTTCTTGTTCCTCAAATGTAAATCTGATAAGTTAGCAAGAGTTCACGTAGCACCCGGAAGAGTATTTAGAACTGGGTGGTCTAAAATAGTTCTTTAGATGATATCAGCTTTTCTTTAACTCTGTATGAAAACACACTGTGTATGGACCCATGTGCTTACCAAAGCCTTGTGTAATCAAAACATATATAAGTAAAGTGATTTCGGTATAACTCAGACAGACAAGCTGAGCTGCTGACCCTTCACTCAGTGTCTGTTTCATTGTCTCATCGCCGACTCCACACCTCCTCTCAGGACCTGAACCCGCTAGAGCTGGACTCCAGCATGAGAGGCCACATGTTTCTTCAGACTAACCTGGTCACCTCCTCTGAGGCCAGCTGTGCGGGGTTCCTGTGCTCAGCTCCATGAAGCCCACACTGGAGGAACAGGTTTGACAGATGCCCGGGCCTCCCTGAGTAGCTGCTGACAGGAAGTCCTGCTGGACCACATGAAAAACCCACTGCTTTCAGCTAAAATGACACTGAAAATCACGACAGTGTGTGATAACCAAAACAAAATGTATATGTACACTCTTTACAATCCTAACCATGCTGAATGACAGCGAACAGGTCTCTAAGAGACAAATTAAACTACTTCCCATCAGGGGCAGTGTTAGCCAGCAAACATCCTTGAAGCTGAAAGCAATGTCTTTGGTTACCATTTCAGGTAAACTGAATTATACCTTCAGCTGAAAATTAGCTGTTTAAAAGCCTACATCACCACTCTAGTCCTCAGGCATTCAATTTAAGGCATATGGAATGTGTGAAACTTATAAATTTTAAACTAATAAATATTAATTCTAAAATTCATGATCACTCTCTAATGTTGGGTACAAAACAGCTCATTGTATGGATGATAATTCTGAAAACTCTGACATAGCAATGGATTTTTCTCATTCTAAAGTCCCCATAAACATCAACTATGAAAGAAATGAGCACACACTAGTGTTCTTCCATTTGAGGAAAAAACTGATGAAACTGGTCAATGTCTGAAACTACATTGAAAACTAAGAAATCAAGATAATTGCCACTGGGTTATTTCCAGGATTTAGGCTAACACAGAATGTAAACTATGTCAGAAATTCATCCAGTCACTTCTCCTGTGGCTTGCACTTAGTGCAGTAAGATTCACACTGCACACCTCCTCCCAGTCCATTTCCCCCTCTTGCCTTTGAACTTGTCCAGATTTATTCTGTTTGCCTTGCAAAGAAACAGCAGGGTTTTGGGTCCAAATATCTGAACAAATCTAGAAATGAAACACAACCTTCTTCTAGTACAGTAACAGATTTAAGTGCTAAGGAATCTGGTGAGCATTTCCAGCATTTAACCTCATCAACCACAGGACAAACAAGACTGGTTTTGCATATAACCAAGTGAAATTAACCCCTAGTGAAATGAAAATAAAATACATGTGTGAGATGATGTCATTTCTTTCACTGTCAACAAAATCAGCATCTTATGTTAATTTCCATCTTGAAATAAGAGCAGAAATATTGTTGAAAGCTTAGAAAATATATCTTAATTTGAAATACAAGTCTTAATAAAGATTTGTTGAAATTCAACAAAACTCAACTAGAATCTAACCTAATGCTATCTGAAATTATGCTAAGGTTTTTCTTTTGTTTTGTTTTGTATTTTTTCGGTACTGGGGATCAAACTCCAGACTTTGCACTTACGAGGCAGGCACGGTACCACTAAGCTAAATCCCCGACCCTGCTAAAGTTTTTGTGGGTTGGAGAGCTTATTTTAGCAAGTGTTTCTTTAGTATCTTTGTTTCTAGCATTTAGCACAGTGTTTGAAGCAGTTAACTCAGTAAATATTTGTTGAGCTAAATTACTGAAATATGCTTAGTATACAAAGTATCTGCAAAGATGTGCATATATATCATTGTTAAAAAAATAAACCAAACTTCTTAGAATAAGTTATAAATATATAGAAAATATATTCTACAATTTTTTTCTAAAGGAAAAAAAACATTCTCTCTAAAAACATACATAAAACCAGACTGTTGGTCAGTGTTACCTATGTAACACCGATACTCCCTCACATCTACCTTAAAAACTCACCGGCAAGCAAGCAAAATGAAAGGAGATCAAAGTCTATGAGTATAGACATAAATATCACATGGATTAGACCTGATAGTCACACACTGCTATGCACTGTATTTGCCAAGAAAATTCAAAGAAAGACTCATTAGTCATTTACAACTTGTATTTACATTTTTCCACACCACTTGCACTGTAAGCGTATTTTGTTCAACCTCATTTTACAAAGCACTTTCAATGCTATGAAATGTCCATAGAAAAGAGCCTATTTTCTAGAATAATTTGATGAATTATTTCTTATGAATACATAAGTAACGAAAAGATATGGACCATTTTCAATACTTAAAAACCCAGCATCTCTTTTTGGCATTTTAAAAACCTAACAGTTACTGTAATATTAATTCTTGTTTTCCCAATGCTAACATTATTGACTATATTTTCTGAAATTTTTAAAAATAAGAGTTGCTACATATTATGGCCAAATATTATTGATACATGATAAAGTCCACTGCAATATAAACAAAACATTATTTGTGTTAAGTAAAGTGATGATCTATCCAAATAGAATATTAAGTTTTTTCATAGTTTACCATCCAAAAAATATCACTTTGCACCTCAAATCAGTACAATATATACATTACCTCAACTACATGAAAATTTGAGAAACTATAGGTATACATAACTTATATTTTCTTTTACTTGTGAAATCAGATTTTTTAAAATACTAATGTCAACCTAAGTCCTCTTGCTATTTCACATTTAATAACTTACAAAAACTTGCACCAAGCCCTGAGATAAAATGGCCTTACCTATTGGTTTTATTTCCTTGCCTACAGAGTAATATTCATGGTTAATTCTTGCAATAAAGGAGTTGTTAACATTTATTCCAAGTTGGAAAATGCTCTGATTTCAGAGATACCATGTGAAAAATCACAAGTCACCGCTATGCTTACTTTTACCAAATAAAAGCACCAAGGGAAGCTTTTATTCTCAAATGAGACCATGAAACACATAGTTATATACAAAATGCAATCAGAAAACATTAATAAAAATTATCTGTTATTTAACATTAATCTACCTTAATGTAACGACTAATTGGGCATCCAGTCAAGATGTAAACAATACGTATGTAGTCTTCCTAATCACCAAAAATTAGGCAGCAAAAATCAGTAAATGATTGAGCTGTACAATGTTTTGAAAAAATTTTAGCTGATCTTTTATGTTCCATATTTTAATTCAATTATCCATGTTTCAATCAAAGGGCTCTCCTGGTAGTGGCATTTCATATTGATGTAAATTTCTTGTGTCCTTGCATCAAAACTTGAAGAAATATAGAAATCTATCTGCAATGCTTTTTTTCTATGTCTATTCATTCAAATATAGTGGTTACATTTCCATTTAAATGGAAAGTCAGTTCATTTGCTCTCACAGTGATGTTCAAATTCAACTTGGTGGCTTTTAGAAGATATGAAAGAGCATCATTTAACAATTTTCTTTTCCTTTACTGTACAAGCTGCAAGGAGTTCAAATTTAAGTGTTTAAAGTTGGTACTGCCTTCCCAGGAATTGAATAGTATAACATCACTTGATAACAACTGCCAGGTTAGTGTTCCCTGTCATAACCCCCCCACACCCACTGAGGCTCATTAGATTATCAATTCCAAGTGTATAATATGAAAAAATTCTAAAGCAGAAGTAGATCCATAACGTAGTAATGAGAAATCACCAATAAAGTCAAGGAACTGTTTAAGCTTGGGTTTACAAACTGAGAACTACCAACCCCTAGAAAATGTTATATAAAACTTGAGAGGCAATAAGGGCCTCTGAAAGTATTCTTTGTACAAATACACTAAAGTATTATTTATATAGAAAACACAATTAGTTGACGTCCAAACAATAAGTGAATAAGTGAGGGGAGGGGAGGGACAGCAGACCACAGAGAGGACAGTCCCCTGCCTGCCTCCATGCCAAAAGCAGCAATCTGCTCCAGTTGCAGCCAGATCTGCTCACTCATCAGCTTCCACACTGACAGCAGGAGGAGCAGGGCTGCTGTTAACAGTACATGGGTGGGTGGGGAGGTATGTGATAGGCTCCTCCAGACTTCACACAAATAGGTTAAAAGATGAGGTTTTTGTTAATAAGAAAGTTAATTGAGGGAAAATTACGGAAAGGAATCAGCTACATGTTATATTTTCAATTACATTTATCCTAACCAGCACAAAAGTCTATAAATAGCACGGTAGTAGAACAAGAGACACTGTGACTGTTTCCCACAGGCTCTTTTCTCTTTGGGCTTTCCGCTTCCTGCAGCAAATGTAAAGTCAGAGCATGGCAATGGGTCTTTTGAAATCACAAGACTGTCACTCCCAAAGTACCAGCTATTTCCTTCTCAATACAAACATACTATTTGGAGTAATTCATTTAGATTTTTCTAAAGACACCCTGTGTAACCTTGCAAGTGGTGATTTGTAATGTGGCAGGCTGTTACTGGGCAGCTATAATATTTTACCTCAGCTCAATAAAGAGCAGTTTTGCTTTAAGGTTTATTCAGACAGAAACACTCCAGGGGAGGTAATCTCCCAACCTGGCTCATGTTCATCTCTCTGTTGTTCAGGGGCAGGCAGAGGCTGCAGAGAGAAGCCACCTTCACTTTTCCTGGTTGACACAGTTGTAACAGCAAGACTCTCACAAGTGCTACCTGAACCACTCAGCCAGGAGTTGGATTAAAGACTGTTGTGCACTATAGCATCCTGCGCGCTGGCCTCTCCTACCCATTCCGCCTCCTTCCCAACACCCAAGGCCTGCACTTTTCTTTCTGGAGGCCTTGCCTGGCTTCTGCACCCCAAGGACTAGCATGAAAGTCAAGGGGCTGCTCTGCACTGATGGTCATGAAATCTGGCATAAAAAAGAATGTCCTAGATCCTTCACCTTTCAACTTGTGGATATTTTGCATGACTACCAAAACTTTTCAGTGTAACTCAGCAACGGGTGCTAATGCTGAGCATTTGCTTGAGGACAACAACCTTTTCTGGCTACCTCTGCTTCAGGCCTAAGGTCACCATTTCCTGAGATCACTTGAAAAATAAATAATACTTGCATTTTTTGCAATTTCTCTCAAGGTCTGCTTCTGGAGAACACTCTTGTTAAGTAAATCTGGATCTACCTTCAACTTCAATAAAAAGAGGGCAAATCTGAGAGATAAGAGACATGTGTTTACTCTAACAAGGAGAAATATCTGCTCTAGAGATTAATAAAGTCCCTTTGGCATCTCAGGGTCAGTGTGGTATTTACTGGTAGTTCAAGTAGGTTAATACACTCAAGTACCTACCTCAGTGACTGCTTACAGGGAAACCCAACTAAAACTGTATGAGGCTGTTACCCTACGATCAATTCTAATTTCCCTCAGTTATTTTGATTGCAAACAACCTACTCAACTGTAGCCATCTTAATAATCAGAAAGACTCACTGCATCTGAGTAGAGATAAAGTCAGTAGATTGCACTTTGAAAAATGTGAAGAGAGTTGCCTGTGCTCCTAACACAAGGGTGACAATGACCAAGTGAGGTTCTGTGTTAGTGAACTAGCAAGGTTTAGTTGCTCCACAAAGAACAGGGGATCAAAAGATGAGATGACCGTTTAGTCATTATAGTGAAGACGTACTGTCCTTAGGACTCCCTCCAAGTGC